TTAGTCTAACCCCATCATTTTACAGGGGAGAAAACTGAAGCGGAGGGAAATAACTAGATTTGCCCAAAGTTGTACAGCTAATTAGTAACAAAGCAAGGACTGGAACCCAAATGCTCTGGACTGCTACACTAAAGGCCTTTCCATTATACCACCAAATCATAACTATCAAACCCCCATTCAGAATGATATACTGTGTTCTCTCACTGTAACTTCAAAAGCCTAAAAAGGTAGGCTTGTCCCCTTAAAAGAATTGCTCTAACAGGATTCTACCATATTTGGTATAAGGGGATTTCATCTTGAATGGTTGGATACACCACTCAGTTATCTTCTGGAATCATTAGGAAATGGGCTAGGTGAGTAATCTCGACTAGCCCTCAAGTTATTATTGAGGGCTCTGAATACTTGCGTGGGGGGACGCCTCAGAAAGTCCTGGGGGAACTGCAGGGAGGCCTTATGATTCATCCTGGGTTCCTTACCCTTTCTCCGCCCCCATCTCCCGAACCCAGAAAACCAAATAACATTCCTAAGACCAACAGAGAGGCTCAGCACATTGTTCCTCCTGAAGGATGGCTCTGTTCCAAACAGGATGATGTAAGTGGGCAATTTCTCCTGTTTACTTCTTGCTCTTAAGTTAATTTTTATTTTTTGTTCTTTGGCTTACTTTCCCAACTCTTTTCCCTGAGAATTATAGTTCCATCTCTGTCTCTTGCCAATGCACACTATAATTACGTGCCAAACCTCTTCCTTTTTCTCTTCTGATACTTTAGAACAAGTGGGGTGGGTAGGTAGGAAGAACTATTCAAGCTCCTGGGTCCCAGTCTTCCTTTACTTCCATTGATTAAAGAATAGAGATTAATATTCATAGCAGCTCTTTTTGTGGTGGCAAAGAATTGGAAATCAACGGGATGCCCAACAATTGGGGAATGGTTGAACAAGTTATGGTATGTGAATGTAATGGAATACTATTGTGCTGTAAGAAATGATGAGCAGGCAGTTTTCAGAAAAATCTGCAAACACTTGTATGGTCTGATGCTGAGTGAAGTGAGCAGAACCAAGAGGACTTTGTACACAATAACAGCCACGTTATGTGATGACTAATATTGTTAAACTGAACCCTTCTCAGCGTTACGAGGATCTAAGACATCTCCAGAGGCCTCAGGATGGAAAATGCTGTCCACATCCAAAGAAAGAACTATGGAAGTCGAATCACTATCACTTATTTTTACCTTTTGTTGAGTTTTGTTTCATCTTTCTGATGGTTCCTCCTATTGGTTTTAATTTTTACTTACAACTTCACTAATGTGAAAATATGTTTAATAGGAATGTAAATGTAAAGCCCATATCAGAGTGTGTGACGTCTTGGGGAGGGGGAGGGGGAGGAAAAGGGAGAAAAATTTTCAACTCAAAAGCATATGGAAGTGATTGTTGATAAATCAAAATAAATTAATAAAATAAAAAAAGAATAGAGATTAAGAGCTACACTGCAATTAGTGGCTATATTGACTTCTAGCTAAATCGCTAACGATTTATCCATTTCTTTGCTCCTCAACTCAGGTTTGAGTTCCTAAGAAGGGTTAATTACAGTGAAAGTGCTTTGAGTGAACAATTTCAAAGGAGAATCTGGGTGTGAAAGTATCATTATACAAGTTATATACCCAAGTATGTATAAGACATTTGTGAAACAGTAACAGGTGGATGGAGAGATGATGTGCAAAGTGATTTTTTAAAAAAAAATTTAAATTAAATTAATTTTTTGGGTACATTTTAAGTTTCAAGCTATTTCCCTTCCTCCCTCCTCACCCTGCACTAGAGAAGGCCACCATTTGACATAGATATATATGTGTATGTATCTATATGTGTATACATATAGGTACATATGAAATGTATGTACATATATATGTAAAATCATACTATCCATACTTCTATTTTTCACTTCTTTCTATGGAGCTGGACAGCATCTTCCTTCATAGTTACTTCTGCAGCTGATTTGAGTATTCAGAATAACTTAGTTATTCACACTCGTTCTTCAAATAATATTGCTATTACTGTATATAACGTTCTCTCGGTTCTGCTCATTTCATTCTTCATTATCTCATGCCAGTCTTTCCACTTTTTCTAAAATCAACCACTTCATCATGTCTTATAGCACGGTAGTATTCCATCATAATTATGTACCACAACTTGCTTAGCCATTCCCCAATCGATGGGCATCCCATCAATTCCTGGTTCTTTGCTATGTAAAGTGATTTAAAAGTGATGTTTACTATTGGACATATGTCCCCAAAATGTCTATCGCCTTTTAAAACATTTTTTAGTGAGGCAATTGGGGTTAAGTGACTTGCCCAGGATCACACAGTTAGTAAGTGTCAAATGTCTGGTCTGAGGCCAGATTTGAACTCAGGTCTTCCTAACTCCAGGGCCAGTGCTCTATCCACTATGCCACCTAGCCGCGTCCCCCCCCCATGTCAAAGAGAGAAAGAAAGGCCCAATACTTACCTGGTTTTGTAGCCAAGACTGGTGCACTTTGTATGAGACTCTCTTAAATAATGGAGAGAATACTGACTCAATGCTGAGTGCCTTGGCAAGAGGCAGAATTTGGTGAGAGAATCTGGGCAGGAGACTTCTTTGAAAGAGGCACTCATGGTTGCTGATACTCTTGGAGACAGACTCCAGACACATAGAAAGAGACAGATAGACTTTAGATGCTGCAGAAATGTAGAGGAAATAAGACTCTCAATATGTCTCTTATTTCCAGCCTGCCTCCCTAGACACTTGCCTCCCTTGGGTAAAGTTGGGGCCTCTTTCTTGGTTAAACTGGGATATCATCCTACTACCATCTAAAGAGTTCATCTGCTCTTATGTATTTTCTGGTATATTTTAATCTAATCTGTATAACTTCTCTGATTCTGTTTTCCATTTGCTTGGATAAATGGGTTTACTCACTATTTTATATTTGTGATGGTTTTTGGTATAACCTGTGTCTGGTAGAAAACCAGCACGTATAAGTTTGAGGTTATCCTTCCCCCATTAAGTGTGACCAGGAAAGTGGCTTTTTGTTTTGAACCAATTATACTCCCAGACTAGTGATAGTTAAGGAGGATCAAATAAGATTCTAGTTTGAGGCACACTCAGAGGTCGAAGAAAGAGCATCTCGTCCAGCTGTGCTCTGGGGACCTGCTTATTCCTCCCTTCTTATTGCGCCAATTCTCCTTTTCAAGAGTCCAGACCTCAGATCATATCTATCAATGTCTCCCATGAGAAGCATTTAGACAACCCAAGTGCACATACATATCTTACACATACCTTATGATATCAAAGTATTCACAGCAGCATTTTGGAGAGGGGCAAAGAACTAGAATCCAGGTGGATACTCATCATTTGGGAAAACAATCTTCCATTCCATTCACATATTCATGTTTTCAACCATTGTATACTATGTACCGTGTGTGTCATATAACTTCTTATAAATCCATCCATTTGGAGGCAGCTTGGGGGTGAAGCACATAGAGCACTGGCCCTGGATTCAGGAAAACCTGAGTTCAAATTTGGTCTCAGACACTTACTAGCTGTGTGACCCTGGACAAGTCACTTAACCTCAATTGCCTCCCCACCCCAAACCCAAAAATAAATAAATCTACCTTGGTCTGGAATCCACCTATTTTCATATCATTGAAATTCCAGTCTGCATGGAACATTGGTATTTCTTTTGTAATAAGTCTCATGTTTTACACTGAAGCCTAGAAGCCCATGGAACATTGGTATTTCTTTTGTAATAAGTCTCATGTTTTACACTGAGGCCTAGAAGCCCATGGGGATAGCAATGCAAGTCCTGATACGCAATGATAGATGATATGCAATGATAGATGATACGCAATGATAGATGAAAACAGCTCACAGGTGGAACTAGGGATAGGCAAGTTCAACTCAAGTTGAAATCAGGAGATTTGTTCTGTGAAGTTTGGGTTCAGTCAAAGAGCCACACTTGAGGACCTAGAGGGCCACATATGCCCTTGAGGTTGCAGGTTCCCCACCCCTGTAATAGTCTCTTAAAGGGCAGCTAGGTGGTGCAATGGATAGAGTGCCCAACCTGAAGTCAAGAAGACTCATCTTCATGAGTTCAAATCTGGCCTCAGACACTTACTACCTGTATGACCCTAGGCAAGCCACTTAACCCTGTTTGCCTCAGTTTCCTCATCTGTAAAATGAACTGGAGAAGGAAATGGCAAACCAATCCAGTATTTTTGCTAAGTAAACCCCAAATGGGGTCACAAAGAGTCAGGTACAACTGAAAAATGACTGAACAAAAACAAAAATAAATGAAGAGATAGCTGGCCTGGTAAGACACTTAATGTGGACACTAGACCAGCTTTAGCACCACTGAAGCTCAGAATTACTGAATCAAGGGATCTACCAGCCCAGTTTTCCCATCAACAGGGACTACAGGCATGCCAGTCCAAGCTGCAATTGCCTAAACTCCATGAATGTAGGAGCTGAGTTTTATTTAAAATGTGTACCTCCTTTAGCATATAAAACGCCAGGCTCTTAATACTTGTAAATGAATAAATAACTTTATAATCTTTAAAACATCATATAGATCAGCCATAGCTAGATGGTACAGTGGATAGAGTGCTGGGCTTGAGGTCAGGAAAATATGAGTTCAAATCTAGCTGTGTGACCCTGGGCAAGTCATTTAACTTCTACCTGCCTCAATTTTATCAATTGTAAAATGTGGATAATAGCACCAACCTCCCAGGGTTGTTGAGAGGATCAAATGAGAAAATAATCGTAGAGAGCACTTAGTATAGTGCCTGGCACAAAGCAGGTGCTTAATAAATGTTGTTATCTCTGGATATGAATTACCATTTATCTTCTACGACATGTCACCTAATGAAATTTTCATCCATTTGTTATTATCAATAGTAATAACTGAACAATACCATTCAACTACCTGGTGTGATTCTACCCAAATCCAATAATTCTTCACGTTTCTCTCCCTACAGGAAAAGGACAGTGTCTGAGTACCAGTTCATGCATGATAAAGGGAAGACCATGCAATCCCTGAAAAGGCTAATGTGGTTATACAATGCCATGGGTGGGGTGCACTCTGCCAGGGGCAGTGCTCCTTCCTACTCAAACAGTCTGTGGAAACTGCAGAAGCGCCTGACCCATCCTAGTCTGTACAGAGATACAAGTGGGGTGAACACTCACAACCTGGTGAAGCAAATGCTGATTAGCCTGATGACGGATGCCCAGCCTACTAGATTGTAAAATCCACCCAGACAGAAGTAATTTCTTATCCAAGCTTCGTGCCTGGAATAGTGCTCTGTATACAGGAGCTGATTAATAAATGCTAGTTGAATGAATGCAATTGAATGGTGTTGGAGCAGGGGGCTTCCATGTTAATGAAGAATAATACAGATCATCTAGGTATGACGGAATTATCTCCATCAGTTGAAACTGATGCGAATAGTAGCAAGAAAAAAATTGTTATGCTCAGAAAAATAATCCTTCTCCTACTCCAAGAGCACCCTATCTTTTTTTTTGTTTCATGGACTTCTTTGCCAGTCTGGTGAACCCTTCTCAGAATAGATGTTTTAAAAAATGCATTCATTCACTCTGTATATCATCTGATATATATTTTCACTTGAACTTCTCCATCATTCCCTGGCTACTCTACCCAGCCAGCTTTCCCTTATAATAAAGCTAGAAAGAAAGAAAGATCAGTTCAGTAAAATACCAACTGATACATACGCTATAAAATATACAGGATTGCAAAAGAAGCCAATTATATTGAAATACATTATCAAAATATTAAAAATACAAGTTCAACAAGTCATAGTATATGACTGTGATGGAATATGATTGTACTGTAAGAAATACGAAGGAAATGGTTTAAGAAAAACCTGGCAAGACATATAAGTTGATGCAGAATGAAGTGAGCAGAACTAGAGCACTGTAACACAGTAACAGTGGTATTGTAACAATGATCAACTGTGAAAGACTTAACTACTCTTAATGACCCATAATGAAAAATGCTATCCACCTTCAGAAAGAGAACTGATGAACTGAGTGCAGATTGATGTATATTTTTTTCACTTTCTTTTTCTTGCTTTTTTTTTTAACTGGCTAGTATGGAAATATGTTTGCATGTCTCCATATGTATAATAGGTATCATATTGCTTACCTTCTCAGTAGGTGGGGTAGGGGTGGGAAAGAGGGAGAAAATTTGGAACTCAAAATAAAAATGAATGTTAAAAAATACAACATTAACATTAAAAAATACTAGATCTCATGTTAAAAAAAATCCTGTCCTATGCTGAAATAAATACAGCTTTTTGTAATTTTGATTTTCCGAGGTCACATAAACATTTGTTAAATATAGTGTAATAATTTAAAACCACTGTTGTGTTCAAGGAGCTGGACCCTCTCCCTCTCCATTAAGTTTGTGGTCTCGCCTGGGTTGAGTCTAAGAAGAGCCTAACCATCCAGATGAGGGGTAAGACTCCTTTTTCATGCCGTCTTTGTCTAGTTATATCCCCAGTGTGGCGCCCTGGGGGAAAATTACTTAAAACTTAAGTTTTCCTCACACCTAGGGTTTCCCCAAATGGGAGAGTAAAATGGTACTCAATGTACCATATAAATCAGGTATGGGACAGGTATTTATTTTCCCCATACAAAAGAAATGTTAAACACAAAAGGCTCTCACAAGTACATATTGACAGAAACATGCAGCAAGTAATAACTGTCGTTATACTAGGAGATTGAGATTTCAATACTAGAACATGAAGCAATTTGTGGAATTGTTGAATAGGCAATGTTACATTTCACTCCAGTTCTGCACTGTCCGAGCCACTCACTCCAGGTTTATGTCTTCTGGCAAGTCAGGCTAGGACTTGAGCTCCTCCTCTTATTGGTGTCATCTGGTTTGATAAAGAACTCCCCCCATGGCTAGTCAGCTCTGACTGAGGACTTGAGATCTCTGAACATCTCAAACTTACAAGGTTGCTTCTAAGACTGGACATACCTATCTTGGGATTGCTGTTCGGTGATCTATACTCAGGAAAAGAAACACAAAAGGGAAAACTCATGGAAGCATTACTTTCCACAGAGAAGGTCAAAGGAAGAAGAGAAACAAGGGTATGAGCACTCCCTTTTAAAAGTTAAGTCCTTACATGAACTGATGCAAAGTGAAATGAACAGAACCAGAAGAATATTGTACACAGTAATGGCCATATTGCATGATGATCTACTACAAATAATTTAGCTATTCTCAACAATACAATAATCCAAGACAATTCTGAAGAACTTATGATAAAAGATGCTGGCAATTCAGGGAAAGAACTGGTGGAACTTGAATACAGATCAAAGCATACTTTTTCTTTATTTTTCTTGGGGGTTTTTTTTGTCTGTTTTCTTTCACAGCATGACTCACATGGAAATGTGTTTTGCATGCCTACACATATATAACCTATGTCAAATTGCTTGCCTTCCCAATGGGGGGGGGAAGGAGGGAGGGCGAGAATTTGGAACTCAAAATTTGAAAAAGAAAAGAATGTTAAAATTGTTTTTACATTAATTGGGAAAAATAACATATTAAATTAAAAGTTAAGTCCTTCCTAGTGGCCAATAAGGATATTACTTTCCTATCCTCAAAGTGCCTTTGTCTTTCAATACTAAGTCACACTTGTCAGGCCAGAATCAACCAGGAATTTCATCAATCCCAAAGCACCCAAGTGCTGAGCTAACAAGCAGGGTAGTTCTGTACATGTTCCCAGCACCTTTTTCAAACTTTGCTGCCTCCACTTGACTCTCATCTACATCTCCATCACCCTCCCCCGGACCTTTGGATTCCTGAATGTCTGGCTCTGAGAAGTGAGTTTTTGCCATATGTTGCCTACAATTAGGTCCCTACGTCATTTTCCTGGCCACCATTTCCAAACTTTGACACTGTATGTACCTCATACCCTTTTTAGGTCCCCTTTATTCCTCTATTAAGATACAAGCTCCTTAAGGATTTGCTTGCTTGTATTTGCATCCCTAGCACTCAACACAGTATTTGACACATAGTAAGTGCTTTATCTATCAATAGCACATGGTAGGGACCCAATACATTCTTGCTGATTGATTGGTACCCAAAGCTTGGATTAGATAAAAGAATACTGTTGTTGGATAAAGAACTAAAGTGTGGTAACATGAAAAACAAGAGAATGAGATTGGGGAAAATGTCTTGTCATGAACAGAGAACTGCAATTGGGTAGGATGGTGGGAACAATATTCCAAGGTACTCCCACCTATGCATGTTAAGTTAGTTTTTCCTCAAAAGATATTGAAACTGTTTTTAAGATTTAACTGGCTCTGGAGAGAGCACTAGCCCTGGAGTCAGGAGGAACTGAGTTCAAATCTAGCCTCAGACACATGACACTCACTAGCTGTGTGAACCTGGGCAAGTCACTTAACCCTAATTGCCTCACTGGAAAAAAAAAAGAAAAAAAAAGATTTAACTGGCTCAGGGAACTAAGATTTTTTGGTTATTAACAGAACTTCCTGGTCACTTGGGTACAAAACAACCAGGATATGAAGGGCTGGAGATCCTCCAGACCTCTGACAGCAGGCTAGCCTGATGACCATCACCAGCATGGGAGACAATGCTAAGGTGGATCAAGGCTGTATCGCTATATCAGTCAGTTAATAAACACTTATTAAGTGCTTCTATGTGCCAAACACTGTGCTAGGCCTTGGGGACACAGAGCAAGGTAAAGGATAGTTCCTTTGATACTATGAATCAGTATGGCCACTTTGGAAAGCAATTTGGCATTTTGTGAAGAAAGTGACTAAAACGTCCACATCTTCTGACTTAGAGATTTCATTTCTAGGCTTATACCCCAAGGAGGCCATAGATAAGAAGAAAGTCCCCATATACACCAAAATATTTATAGCAGTCTCTTTTCACGATGCAAAGAATTGGACATAACCTGGATGCCCAAAGAAGGGGGAATGGCTAAACAAACTGTGGTATATGAGTATAATGGAATATTGTTGTGCTGTAAGAAATGACATATGTGATGAATACAGAGAGAAAAACAGACGGATCTATATATATAAACCGATGCAGAGTGGAGTAAGCAGAGACAAGAAAATAATATATATATACAGTAACTTCTCCTGTTGTTTAGTCATTTGTCAGTTGTATCCGATTCTTTGTAACCCCATTTGGGGTTTTTTTTAGCAAAAATACTGGAGTGGTTTGCTATTTCCTTCTCCAGCTCATTTTCCAGATGAGGAAAGTGAGACTAACAGGGTGAAGTGACTTTCCCAGGATCAAACAGCTAATAAGTGTCTGAGGCCAGATTTGAATTCAGGAAGATGAGAGAGTCTTCCTGACTCCAGGCCTGGCACTCTATACCCACCACAGTAACTACAACAATGTAAACAGAACAACCACATACACACAATCAAAAACGAAGGTTGCAAAATTACGAAGAATAAGCATGGCTCCAAAGAAGATGAGAAGACACCTAAATCCTACTTCTTTGCAGAGATAGGAGATCCATGAGTGTGACACATTGCATATCTTTTCAGGCTTTTTTGCTGATTTTTTTTTCTTTAAAAAAAATATTGTCATACTGGGTCCTTCTCTGGGAGAGGAAGGAGGAAGGGTACTGGGGAAATTTTCAGTGATATAAAAAAAATTCAGTGATTAAAAAAACCTGCTTATTTAAAAAAAATCTGGATCTGAAATTTCATTAGGATAGGGAATTCCATATGAGGAACCTCTTTTTTACTCATGCACATCAGCAGCTCCTCCACAACTTGGTCTTAGAGTTTCTTGAGGGCACTAAGAGGACAAATGAGTCAAGCTGTTTCACCAACTTAATGACAAATATTTAGGTCCCTGCTGGATGCCTCTAAGGTCTCTTCCAGCTGCAAGATCATGATTTTACGATGTCTCAGGACTATCTAGGCAGACAGAAAAGTGTCCAATGAGTTTCATTTGTTATAGACAAATACTGATGTAAGGATGTAAGGCCAAGCCCACTTCAGACCACCTTCAGAGTGTCCAATTCAGACCATAAAGGGTGCAAAACTAGGAGATGCTGGAATCCAATTTAGGGAAAGAATCTTGGAGTCATTGGTTTAAGAGGTCAGACTGATCTACTGCTGACAAGAATTTCAATAAAACTCTGTGAACCATAAAAAGTGGAAGGATAAACAGAACAGCAAATGTTATTTTTTCCTTAAGCAAAGCTCCATGCCCTTTCGTTGTTACTCCTCAAGACAGGCCTAACAGAGAACAGGAGAGAATCCAGGACCAAACCATCAGAATCACTGGAGATTTCATTTGGTGTGACAATTACCTCCGAGTTAGGAGGATTAGGACAGATGAAGGAAGATGACAAAATCACTGAGGTCTCAAGGAGGCTGGAATACTAAAACTAACCCTCTCTGTCCCTTTCCCCTCCCCCAGCACTTGTAGGCTGATACAAGGAAGTCTTTATTTCCTCTAACAGGTGGCAAATTCAAGGAACTCTACCCAGGAGAGGTCACACAGGTTAAGCCTCTGCTGCACAGGGAAAGTAAAGGCCTTAGCTATAAGATGGGTCATTTAAGAGCTGAAAGGCCCTTTGGCACCATCTAGTTTCTTCCTTTCCTATTCAGCCCTAGCCTGTGATTTCAGTGGTAAACCACAAGGCCTGAAATACTCCTGTTGGGCTGACCTAACTTAAAATGCAATTGGGGTGTATTTAACAGAATAAATAAAATACAATAGAATGTAGATAATGTGAATATGTGGTTTTCTGAATCAATATGCTGCCAGTAGGGAACCTT